GCGCACACTTTCGGGCACACTCTTCCTCAAAGAAAGTCATGCTGTTGCACTTGTTTATACATACAAAAATTTTGGGAGGTAGTTGTGTGGAAGAAAAGAAAGCTTAAAAAAATGTTCTAATCCTTCATACTGACTTACCTCGCTGTGTGAAGGGGGTATGATTGTCAAGTTTGGAAAGTCACAAAAATTGTTTGACCCAGACATTGGAGAAGTGTGGAGGGAGACAGTTTCACATACTGATCATCTGACTAGCACTTCATTTAAAGCTTACTGCCTCCTTTAGCTGTCAGCTTTCAGTGTATTTTAGCATAACTGGTGCTACTTAACACACAGTAGGTCTGTTCTATCCTTCAGTTGTGCTGAGTGATTTGAATCTTTTTCACGATTTCTCTGTAAGAATAGTTTTCATTTTCTGTCTCTTGCTGTTTTGCCAACTGGCTGTTTAGACATAAATCTAAATCCTGCATGTTAAAATGAGTATTTCTCTTATTCTTGCAGGTGGAAGCCCCATTCATACCAAAGTGCAGAGGCCCAGGGGACACCAGCAACTTTGACGACTACGAAGAGGAGGAAATCCGCGTTTCTTTAACAGAAAAATGCGCGAAAGAGTTTGCAGAGTTTTAGGACGCGGGAACATGGATAAATCAGGGAAAATAAGGGGATCTTTGCACTCTTCTAAAGACTTGGGATGGAGCAGAGACCATCGTTTTTCAGATCTACTACATAGTCCCTTCATTCCACAAGGCTGAATGAGGTCGCCATGATCCTTGGGTGCCGATAACCTCTCACTGTCACGTACACCTGCGTATTAAAGCAGACACACCACTTGTTTCTTTTTCTTTTCTTTTTTTTGTACCTACCCGCTGTTTTTTCTTTTTTTCTTTTTTTCTTTTTTCTTTTTTTTTTAACTTTGAAGCAGTTAGTCTTGGATGTTGTTATCCCCTTTTAAAATGTGATATTTTTCAATTCATGAGGAAAAACTGAGACAACGGCCAATAATAGTCCACACATTTTAACTGACTTGTCTGTGGCAATTTGACACACAGTTGTGTGGGTTGAAGGGTACTCCCTCTAGTCGTCAATGGTGTATATTTAATGGTCTGTTACAAGTCCACATCAAGTACTGGCCAGCTTTCAGAGGTAGTATTTGTCCTATGTGCATATCTGTCAGTTTTGTAAGACATTTGAACACGTCAGGTGTTTAAAGCATGACCAAATAGAAAACAGTGGGAGACACAAGAAGAGAGGTCCTTTCCTTTCTTTGCTTTTTGCCTTAGAGAGCCAAGTCCTCAGACCCCCACAAAAGCATCCACTCACTGTCTTCTTGATATTCTGGCACAGCAAGCCATTGCAGAAAATGACAAACCTTGTTACATTAGTAAAATCCAAATCCAGTTGTTTGTTGGATCCTCTTGGATCTGTTAGTTACATGTAAAATTTGTCATTCGGTATCTTAACCTTTTTTGTCGCTGTGTCTAACATTATAGTCATATTGTCCCTAGATTTCAGGTCTGCTTATAAAGACCTATCGTTACGAGTCTGTGGAACAATGTGACTCCAGTAAATGGAAAAGAGTGAAGTGAAATCCTTTTTAGGGTTTTTATTGAGTGTAATGTAAAGCTGAGAAGGTCAATGTGAATAGTGTTGCGGCTTTGTGCCTCAACATTGTTAGTGATACCTTAAAGTACAGAATTTATAATGTATTAAATCAAAGATGTTTTAAAATCTAAAGAAACGGGAACGCAAAACTGCAGTTTGCCATATTCTCCCTGCCTCCAAACAGATTATGTTCTTTCATTCTTGTCAGAGAATGTAGATTTGCAACTTACAGGTATGCCTATTTGAAAGCTTAATTTCAAGGTACAGTTTTCCTCACAATACACTGTCTAAAATAAAGACTGCTCCTTTGTATCACATGTAACCCTGTTATTGTTAAGCTCATTACATTATACGTATATGCATTGTTTCATATATGTTTTTATTTATACACATTAGAGAAGCTAATAAATTTTATTTTTAAAAGTGTTGAAGTTGTGCAACTCTCCTTGCATTGTGACATTTACCGCTGGCACACTCGCATAAAGATGGTCTGAATTTCACCAGACAGTAATCTAGAATAGTTAATGAATGTGATAGACACTAGGTTTAAGTGGATCCCAGTGTGTGATCCAACAAACTCAAGATGATTTGTGACTAATTACAAGGGTTCTAAATTAGCATTTTATTTGACTCCTTGAAAGTCAGCAAAATGTTTTTTTTTTTTTGTTATCTAAGGTGTTTCACATATAGTGAGAATGTATACACACACACACACACACACACACACACACACACACACACACACACACACACACATATATATATATATAAGAGGTTTTAGTAGTGAAAAAAAAAAAATCACGGGAACAAATTAAATTTAAATTATGCATCAGAAGTAATAGATGAGTCAACAACTCTATATGCCTCGATTTAAGTGTTAAGTAAATCATTTATTTCAGTTAAGTAAGGAACACGGCTTGTACATAAACTTTTTTTCATTTTTTTCAGTAGTTTACAGAAATGTTTTAGTTCAGTTTGAAACGAATAAATAGCGGTTCGCTTGCTGACCAGATACTTTTACATTATATTATATCTACTTGTATCTACCGAGGATAGAACCGTTACAGCGTTCCCAACCCAAAAATCCGAACTGTACATTTTTTAACCTTTGGCTTTGCCGTAGTCCTTCCAGTGAGCGGGTTTGTGGGTAATGTAGTATAGCGCAGGGCACGTGGGGCGTCGTGTTGCTGTTCATTCGAAGTTTGCGGAAACATGGCGGGTTTGGAGCTGCTGTCTGACCAGGGATACCGTCTAGATGGACGAAAAGCCACCGAGCTGCGGAAGGTTCAGGCCCGTATGGGTGTGTTCGCTCAGGCGGACGGTTCTGCGTATCTAGAGCAGGGAAACACGAAGGCTCTGGCTGTGGTGTACGGTCCACATGAAGTAAGTAGCATGAATGGAGGGGTCGGTTAGCCAACTGTTATAGCATAACATAAAATTTATGTAGCGAATGAGCACCGCAGCTGCCACCTGCAATTTTTGTAAATCTCTGCAAAGTGTAATTGAAGTAGGTTCATTACTGTGAGGTTAGAAAGGGCGTAGTTGTTTGCACGTATGTTTATCCGTGATCCAGATGAGCACGAAATGTCATTCAAAGTGAGTGACAATCCAGTTAATATTTTGACGATGAAAAACACTTAGTTTAAAGCTGACCCAGAGAACAACAAACTGAGATCAGACTAATCGGGATTATCACCAGACATAATCCTACTTTAGTATTTTATGATCAGTCAAGTAATGAGTTACCAGAGCCCAAATAAATGTGTTATTAACTCAATGGCTTGACCACCACATTAGGGCTTGTCAACATTAAATACACAAAAGTATGTTTTTGGCCTACATCTGTTTTTCATGGTTTAGTTATAATGAAGGGAAATCTTAATGGTTCAGCACAGAATGACTCTTTCTTCCAACTTTGAGGAAGTTTAGGGAGCGACAGAGCCCTGACCTCAACCCCATGCAACAGCTATGTGATGAACTTGAACATTGAAGCCTGGCTTTTCTGCGAGATGTCATGAGATGTTTCGTGTTTGTCATCCCTAGATGCGAGGTTCACGCAGTCGCACTCTTCACGACCGGGCCATTATCAACTGTCAGTACAGCATGGCCACATTCAGCACAGCAGAGAGGAAGAGGAGACCCCATGGGGATCGGAAGTCCACTGAGATGAGCCTCCACCTGAAGCAGACATTTGAAGCTGCTGTGATGACCCAGCTCTACCCACGTTCGCAGATTGACATCTATGTCAAGGTCAGTAATTAGACTGTTGAACAGGGAGATGTGGATTTGATGGGTTTACATGTACTTTTTGTGATTTGATCGGTGTGATCTGATATTTTTGTTGTACTAAAGTACATGAAAACTTTTCTTTCCAAACAGATTCTGCAGTCAGATGGAGGAAACTACAGCGTGTGTGTGAATGCTGCCACTTTGGCAGTCATTGACGCCGGCATCCCCATGCGGGACTACGTATGTGCCTGCACTGTCGGGTTTGTGGATGAGACACCCCTCGCTGACCTTTGCTATGCAGAGGAAAGTGGAGGAGTGAGCTCTCTGGCCTTGGCACTGCTTCCCCGAGGTGGACAGATCGCTCTGCTGCAGATGGACGCCAGACTACACCAGGATCACCTAGAGACTCTGATTGAAGCTGCCATGACAGCCTGTAAAGGTGTGAGCAAGGTGCTGGATGAGGTGGTGCGACAGCATCTTCAAGAAGTGTCAGTGCTCACTGGAGAGTGATGCAGGGAGGAGGGGGAACATCTGGACTGTGTTTTTGGGTGCAGCCTGGAAATGTTATTGGACTTTGAATGGAGAAGAATGATGGATTTTTTTATGCATTCATAGCAATTACTGTGTACTTTTGTATATATGTAGTGAAGCTAATAATAAATATGTGAACTCTGCATCCTTTCTGTGTTGCTTGTTTGTGGGTAGTTGGATTTATGTATTTATTAAAGTAGTTCAAGACATAATCCTTTTCCCAGTGCAAAAATGAATACAAATGCTCACTTATTATTCAAATAACGAGCATATAAAGAGAGTGACAAATTAAAGGAAAAACTTGAATATACTCTGGCCTTTACAGTCACCAGATCCCAATTCAGCCTGATTTGCCATTTATAACTATCAAATTTATGTTATTAAAATTGCAATGGATTGAGAATTTTAATGCACATAAACTAAGTTCTTTGGAAGGTCAATTTATTATTGAAATAATAACAATAATATTAATAACAACAATTATAATGATAATAACGACAATGAAGCAATTGATTGATATGTCCAGTAAAATTCAAAGCTGTGGTTGTCTTATACCACATTTTTTTATTTTATTTTATTTTATTTTTCTGGACCGGATGTCAGTCCGCCACATTAGTGTTCCCACAGAAACAAGGAAATTGAAAACATTTAGCAGCGGCTGCTGTGAATGAGCTCCACCTCTGCAGGTGGATGTGACCGGCTTTACACTGGAGAGAGGTATGTCTTTATACATATTATGCGAAGTATTGAAAAATTAACCACGGAACCTTTAATAATCATTTCACCTTCGCAGAGGGCAGCTGTTTTAAGCACTTCACCATCCAGCGAAGATAGCCTGCTAGCTAACACAAGGCTAATCACAGCTGTCAATAGATGCAGAGAAAGAGGGCGGCAGTAAACCCTCATAATGACCGACTCATATAAAGATAAAACCCATGGTATCCATGGTATCCAGTTTTGCGGCTGTCTGTCTCAGTGACAATTGATCTATAATTTGAAATAATAGTTACAGCCTGTGTGTGCTGCCTTCAGGGTCCAGTGTGTCTAGGCTTCAGGACTGTGTTACAGCCGACAACAACATGGGGCTGCTGTCGGACCCAAACAGAAGACGGGCCTTGATCAGCCTGCTCACCCGCCTCAATACCCCAATCTGGTGAGTTTTAGCATGAAACAATTCCTGCAAAGGCCCATGGGCTCAAGGGGTCAGAGCCAAAGTTGTAAGTGTGATTGTTATTCATCGTTGGTAAGTCAGTCAAGCAATCACACATGGATGCAAAATGACCATTAAGAGACAAAATAACCGCAAAGAAACACAAATCGACAACTAAGAGATGCAAACTGACCAGTTTTTGTTGTCTTGCGTCAGTCTGGGTGCCTTGCTTCTAGGTATGAGGGGTGGGGGGCCCTTTACACTTCTGCAGGGGCCCATTGTCTGATAACCCATTCATCGTTTGTAGTGACTGAAAAATTAAAATGCCAAAGTTAACTGTTACATGCACAAGCAGATTTAGCATTTTAGTACAATACCCACTGTGCACCTGTGTGTATACCTTATATGATTTCTGCCACTTCCATGTCTCTGTCTCAGTGTGGTCTGCTACATGGCGGGCGTGGCCTGGTTCATGGGTTTAGCTTTTGAGCCGTTCACTCTGCGGACATACATGTCAGAGAACGCCATGGGGTCTACCATGGTGGAGGAGCGGTTTCCAGCCGGGGAGAGGGCACTGGCCACCGGCAGGGAGTTTGCGGCTCATAAGAAGAAAGCAGGGTAAGTTACATGCAGCTTCAATTAAAAAATTGTAGAAAGCTTGAAAATAATCTGGTGTTGGAGATCGTGGAGGGTCTCATTTAGGACCATAACAAACAAAAGTCAGTGTTTAAATTTGTAATTCTAAGTCTTCTCAGAGTCTCACAGGATTTTAAAATTTTCCTTTCTGTTTCTGACTTTAGCTGCCATACTAAGTCCAATAGCATTTGCTGTTATGTTGTTTATCTGCAGTGGGATGCCTGTGGATTGGTTGGTGAAGACCATGCAGGCTAGAGGGCTAGAAGTGTTTACCCAGAGCTTCTCTCGCACTCTTCCCTTTCCTGATGAAAACAAAGAGAGATATGTGAGTTTGTGATTGAAGACTTATTGCATTTTTGTTATAAGGATGCCTCTCTCTTCACTTTTCTTTTCTTCCTCTTGGAAAGCAACTGACTGATTTTTGTTATTATCTTTTTGCGTATTCTGTGTCTCTTCTTCATCTCACGCCGTCCTCAGATGGTGAAAGGCACAAATGTATATGGGATCCTTCGGGCCCCTAGAGCTCCACGGACTGAAGCCCTGGTGCTGAGTGCTCCCTGCAGCCCGGGCGATAACAACAACCAGGCTGTGGGACTGCTGCTTGGTTTGGCACACTACTTCAGGAGTGAGTTTAGCTCCCACTGTATTCTCCCAGCCTGTGTTGTATCCGTATAACACCACAGTGTAACTGCATTCAGTGCTGTCACTATGTCACTAAGTCACTATACTGGATAGTTGGTGCATTTCATCCTCCAATTCTTCAGTTTGTGTTTCAGTTCCATCTCTTGTTTAATGACTGCTGTTTCCCTCAATAGATCAGATTTTCTGGGCCAAGGACATCATCTTCCTCGTGAATGAGCATGATCTGATTGGTATGCAGGCTTGGCTGGAGGGCTACCACCACACCAACACTACAGGTGATCACCTGCTTTCACCCATTAACAAACCACATCAACAAGAACAGTGAATTTCTCTGTTAACTTTTTTTCTGCAATACCAATTTTAATGGTTCCTCTAGGAATGGACTGGTCCCCGCTGCAGGGCCGCGGTGGTTCAATCCAGGCAGCTCTGTCCCTGGAGCTCAGCAGTGATGTTGTCACCAGTTTGGACCTAGTACTGGAAGGTCTCAACGGCCAGTTACCCAATCTGGATTTAGCCAACCTCTTCTATGCCTTCTGCCAGAAGATAGGAGTCCTTTGCACCATCCAGGGCAAGGTAAAGTCTTCTTAACACCTCTCTTAACACATTTTCTCTTTTCTCATGTGTTTGGTGAAGACATTGGTGATGACCCTGGTGTATGACAGGTCATATTCAGATTTGATCTGTTTCTGTAGCTGCAGAGGAATGACTGGGACAGTGTGTCTGGCTACAGCCACGCAGTCAAGACCATGATGCTGATGGTGATGAAGCAGGCCAGTGGACGACCTTGGGGGGACCACGGCCTGTTCCTGCGTTATCACATCGAGGCTGCCACCATCAAGGGCGTCAATAGCTTCCGCCAGTACAAGACTGATACTACCACCATTGGCAGGTCAGAGCAAGTGTCTACTGCCTTTTGCTTAATGTACTTTATTTTCTAGATTACACATATTTATAAGCTGACAACTGCTGCTTTTGTCCTGATCAATATCCTTTAGGCTTCTGGAAGGGATGTATCGTAAGCTGAATAACCTCCTGGAGCGCCTGCACCAGTCCTACTTCTTCTACCTTATGCCGTCACTCTCTCACTTTGTCTCTATTGGTTACTACATGCCTGCTTTCGGCCTGCTAGTCGTCATCCTGCTGCTTCGCGTATCCTTTAATAATTATTTTACTTACAGTTTGTCTGGTTTAGATTACATGTTAAAATTATGACTTTTGGCATTGCTGTTGACATGTGCTTGATTGCCAGACTTTCCCTTGACAACGCTACAGGCCTTGGACCTGTGGGTTCAACTTTCGACTCCACCACCAAGAACAGAAGATGGAGTTGTTGACATTGAGCAGGTGAGACACATGCATCCCATCAGCGTGGCAGATATTGAAGTGTTTACATGGCTTGAGTTGATAAATCAGCACTTTAATAAAATCTGCTTCCTCTCAGCAGTCCAGTCCAGGAGTGCTGTCTGTGTTGACTCCTCTGGTGATCAGCCACCTGACCGGAGTGGCTCTGTACACACTGCCAATCCGTTTTCAGGAGATGGCTGTTGAACACTTCCCAGTGTCAGAGACTGAGGCTGTGGTTCTGACAGCTATTGCTGTTTACACAGCAGGGCTGGCTTTGCCTCATAACACACACAGGTAAGTACTGTCACCTGCAGCACACCTCGGATTTTATGATTTTTCTTTTTATATGGTTTTAATGCTTTTTGGACTTAAAAACGGCGTTACTCGTTATGATATACAATATTCTGAGTTGACTGTGCAGTGTGTTATGTACAAGGAAATCCTGTTACACACCGAATCACAAAAACATGTGAGTACAATGTCAAAGCAGAACACTGCACCCAAATTTCCCACTTAGTGTGTGACAGTGAAGTACACATGCAGATACATATAAGTGTTATGCAGCCTTTCATATCCTGTGTATGACCTCATTCTTGATATAATCTGTGCCCAAATCTTATTTTAACCATCTCAGATTTTAACTATATGTTTTTATACATTTACAAACTTCAAAGGTTTACAAAGGGCGATGAACAACGACAGGTTTTGAAATTATTCCTGACTGTCACGTCACAAGCTTAAAATCCTATTGACCCCGTATTTCAGGAGCTGAAAATGACCAAATAACACTTAAGTTGAGACAGTGGGAAACTTGCGCAACTTTAAGGTCACCGTGATGCAGGAGAGTGAAGTGTTCGTCGTGCTGTTTGTCGCAGACTCCTGTCAGATGAGGGGACGGAGCAGGGCTGGAGAGTGCTGAAGCTGGTCGCGGTGCTGTACCTGGCTGTGCTGCTGGGTTGCACCGCCCTCATCAACTTCTCCCTGGGCTTCATCCTGGCTCTCACCCTGGTGCCTGTGGCTGCCTTCGTCACACCCCACATCCCAAAGTAAGAAACACACACAGATGCTTAGTGAGATGTAACTCTGTACCATTATGTTACTCACATGGAAGTAATACTTAACTCTTCTTCTTCTTCTCCCCTAAGTGTTCTGTCAGCCTTCATCTTGGTCGTCCTCAGCCCAGCCTGCACGCTCCTGTTTTCTGTCTTTTTCTTCCAAGAGCTACAGGAAATGCCCATCAGCTTCCAGGAGGGTTGGTTGCTCTACCTGTCAGTCATCTCGCAGGGCATCCTGGACCACTCCCTGTACGGCTCTCTGGTCTACCCACTCATAGCCCTGCTGGTCTATCCTTGCTGGCTGCTTTTCTGGAACATCCTCTTCTGGAAGTAGATGCCAGTCATGCGGAACCACTGAAGGCTTTCATGGGGAGAGAAACCCTCTGAGGTGTTCTCAGGTTTGCCTTCAGCCATGGGAATATGAAGAATGACAGTTAAATCCACTGGAGAGATTGGAAGTCGACTTGGAAAGTGCAGAGACCCTTTTTTTTTTTTTTTTTTTGACATTTTGTTGGTATTTTAGTATCAACTCCCAAGTATTTCATTCTTAAAACAGTGAAGAAAAATCAGGTGTTCTTGATAAACTAAGCTGAATGGACTGTTTTTTTTTTTACATCTCATTTACAAATAACTAAGTGGAATAGGGGACGAGCTTTTCACAAGTAACGATAAATGTCATGGTTGGGTTGCTTTCTGTAAAAAATATAAACAAAAAAAAAACTATTTGGTTTAAGATTTTTGTTTGTGATACATAAGGAAAACTACTGCACTGTTTATTGTTTCATTTTTTTCAGGCAGGATTGTAATGATGGAAGAAGTTGAGACAGTACCAACATAGTTTATTCTAAGAGTAAACAGTGGTGAAACAGAATAAACCAACTGGCTGGTTGATTGTCTGCGTCCTTTAAAGGATAACCCTGGGATTTTTGAACCTGGGCCTTTTTTCTTCATGGTTTTGGGTGTAAATGATTGATATGGAGAAAAATCAGTGCACTATTGAGCAAGAATGGGGTACTTTGCAACCACTAAACAGCTGCTGCAATGTAAACAAAAGGACGTTTGGTCTGCGTCAAAGTACATCCACTTTAAGTGCTTGTTTTTGCCACTGACAGGTTCAGACTGTAATAAGTGCCTGACAGCATTATGGATAGGATTCCTACTGAGATGCAGCTTTTTGTTAAAGGCCAGAAACGGTCGTTACATTGCTTTGTTCAAAAGACACCAGACTCCATTGACAGAAATAGAAATCGCTGCCTCGATTGCATGACTTTCAGTAATGAAGTGTTCAGACCCTTTAAGTAAAAGTATCAACACAATAACAAATAAGCTAATTGATCGAGGCAGCTCAATAATGGACCCATTGCAAAGATTTTTGCCCATTTTACACTCGAACTTGGAAAAATAAGGCCCAGGTTATAGAAAACTCTTTATCCTTTATGATGTTTATACGCCTGTGTCTGAACAAGCCATCGCTGCGTCTAATGTTTTATACTTGTTTTGATAACTGTCTTTGAAACATGTTTATTTTATATTTATGAATGCCAAAATAAAAGACTGGAAAAGTATGGCTGCTGTGTTTGGAGCGTGATACTTCCCTATATATTACTGCGTTTGCATACAACCTCAAAACTAAGGAACTGATATTTACTTCAAAGTTTAATTCAAAAACATTGTACAAAGACAAAATCTGGAATATTAGCAACACAACCAGCTGCATTTATACAACTTAAGACTTGAGGCTGCTACAACTGAATAACATCAAAAAAGGGTGAAGTTTAGTGATTTAGTGCATCGGCTCTGTAAGGCAGTACTGAGATTATTAAATCCTGTTCATGTTAACCTCATGTTGGAAAACTCGGGATCACTGAAGTAATTAAGATAAAATTAACTGGGAAGCTTGAATGTCTAATGATGATTTCGCCAATTAGTCTAGTAGAGAGAGAGATATTTTGCAAGATATGTGAAAAATTTAACCCGCCGGCGGCACTATAGGAAAAGTTGGCGATCAACAAAGTCCTCAGGTGACATTGTCTGAACTCAAATTCATTGCAATCCATCTCATTGAGATATTTCAGTCTGGAGAAAAGCGGTGGCTCAACCAACAGAATCAAGAGCCAGGCTGCTCACAAGACAAAAAATAGCTAATTCATGTTCACACTGAAAGTCACAAACATGTTTAGAACCACAATTTGTCCATCAATCAGTGTATCTTAGAAAAATAGATCAATAGGTGGATCAACAGGATTCTTTAGTCCCATTATGTTTATTCAGCTAATGTAAGTTTTTACAGTATTATGTACTGAAAACAGATCATTCCATTTCTGTCACAGCTCAGAGGGAATCGAGTAAAATTAGATCCGCTGCTAAAATGTACATCAATTACTCAATGCATCTTGTTAAAAATAATACACTTAATACAATGTTATAAAAAAATAAAAGCACTTGACAACCCTGTAAATGCAACATTACTTCTGTTCATTTTCCATGGCTTTTTTTTTTTTTTTTTTATTTCCAACATTTTGGCTCCAACAGATGACACACTTGAACAGAACAGGGTATTGCACAAGGCTTCACCTTTCCTCTCATTTCACAGTTGGCAGAAACTGAAAGGGCGACATTCCCTCAACTTCTGCTGCAATCAAATGCCAAGAACTTACATCAATTCTCTCTCCCTTAAAATAAATATAGGCCGTCTGTGTTTTTTTTTTTTGCACCACACGCACGCACGCACGCACGCAAGCACGCACGCACGCACGCACGCACACACACACTCCCTGTAAAATAAATAAGAGGTCTGGCCAAATTCAGATGTATGTCATGGTTATGTCCATAGAATTGGTCTAAGCTGACGCTGCAGTTCATCGTCTGTGCCTCAACCATCATCTGAGCCTCTGTGTCATGCTACGATGCTTCAAACGCTCCCGTCTTCAGCAGCCAGCCCGCTGCCAGAGGACTCTCAGTGCACTTGACAGTCTTGATGTGAGTATTTTGTCAACATGTATGTGTATGTGTGTGTAAGTGAGTGAGAAATTGCAACTAGACCGTGATGATGGGCAGTCAGCTGCTGCTTAAACCAGACTCTCCCCGGTCCTCTCTCCTTCCTTTCTCCTTTGTGAGAGATGGGGGGAAAAAAAAAAGAAAAAAGGAGTGAGTGACTGTCACTGAGGGGAAATGTTAAGGAGTAGTAGTACAAGCGTATTGATTGTGAGATATCATGCAGTACCTGCTGGATGTGTGTGTCGGGTCTGGCTGTAGCGCAGATTTCGCAGCCCGGACGAGACGGTTTGTTGATGAAAGTGCACGAGGGACAATCCCACTCTGTCTGCTGAGAGGAGAAAAGTTGATACAGATTTAGAGGGCCAATTTAGATTTGGGGTAACTTTTCTATTCTGCCTACTTATGAAGAGTCAAACAGCTCATGGATACAGCATCTTTTTAACTATCTTTAAAGTCAATAATTAGACGTCTATAGGATCCCGTAGCAGATTTTTTGTAAAGATAATGAGACATTAAATTATAAACTGTATAAACTGGTCACATACCTGTGTTTTACTGGCTTTGGTGGTGTGATCATTCAGTTGCAGATTCTCTATGTCAAGAACATCTTTAATATCACCTGATCTATCGCTTCCTCCACCTGTGCTCCCTGAAGTTGACAAAAACAGCAACAAACAATGAGTCGGAAAATATTCAGACAGTGCCACATTTTCTGGTGCTGTCTCTGTACTGTGACTGTTTACATCCATATCAGATGTTGGAGGGAAGTACTGAAAAAAAATGTTATAGGTTATAAACAAACAATGCTAAAAAAAAAAAAAAAAAGTCTAGAAAAGGAAAGAAACCATATTTGAATAACTTTCACACAGTATTTTCAGTATTTTCTTGTCTATATTAACTCATGAATATGTAGCACGCTGTGGGAGTTGCAGCCTTTTTTAGATTAGAACAGTTCACGTGAACCTAAACAAAATCATCTTATTTAAAATTTAATTATGAATCTTTTGCAGGTTATGACTGACTGAAGTCTCTAATCCATAGGAATCACCAAACACTTAATATCTCTGCTCTGGTGAGATCCTGCTGGGTTCAGGTGCTGCTCGTTTCTGGATATTTTTGATCGCAAATGAATCATATGATCCGATGATTGAGGTCAGGTGACTAAATGCTCAGAGGATTGCAGTGTTTTGCTCTAAAACTCTCCTTTCCTGCTTTGGCTGTATGTTTAGGTCTCTGTCCGGCTGCCTTGTCTGGGGGACTGTATGAAAATGGGTGTCATCATTACCCTTGAACACCCTTATAGCTAAAAGGCAGCACTTTCTGCCTGAGGTGTGATGGGTGATAATTAACAAACTGACCCTGGTTGTTGTGGGGTAGCCTTGAGGGTAGGGTGCTGTAACCCCTCCAATCTTGGGAGGTGGGTCCATTGCCTGGGGGGAGAGGTGGGGCGAGGAGGGCGCTCTCCAGGTCCTGCTGGAACAGCTGGCGGGTAATACGGGCCTGTCGGGCAGAGATCAGGTAAAGGTATGCTGTGTCACCGTCCTTCTGCACCCCGTAGGACGCTAATGACCTCGGCTCAGTGCACAAACACTGACCGATCACCCAGCGCTGCACGCGAGGATGGAAACCGTACTCGAGAAACACCTAAAGAAGAAGAAGAAGAACAACAACAACAACAGGAGTCAGGGCAGCTCCAAAAGCTACTACGTGATGTTCTTATTCCATTATTGATAGTCTTCTAACCTGTTGCTTGAGTGCAGCCACAGTCATGTAGGGAAACACTTTCACTGTGACGCAGCAGGATGACGAGACATCCTCCACTACCACAGATAAACTGCAACACAGATTGGGCACTGTTAGCACACCCCCAATGCGGAACACCTATCAGTCGCCATGGCCTTGACTAAATCTCACCTAATCTCTCCGTCTGCGTAGTTCTTTTCAGAGAGTTGAATGGTCAGCGCTGCTTTTTGGCGAGCCAGAGCCGACGCGTGTTGGGAAGCTGCTTGAGTGTCACCCGCTTCAATCGCCCTGGTAAGCTCCAAACACAGCTCCTCTACAAACAACGAGGCAGCGATCAGAAGCGACATTTCTGGAGCACGTTTTGTGTACAGAGGGGGGGGTTGATAAACAGCGATACTCACCGGTGAGCGGCAGCGAGGCTGAGCTCCACTGCTCCATAGCTGCCGTGTGGTTCTGTCTGCCATCTGATTCGTACGTGTTAATATTTGCAACTGTCAGAGGAGAGATGAAAGAATAATGTCAGCTGATATCTGTATTTATTTTAGCTGCACTTGGCTGATAAAGGCTCAAAGTACATACCAGCAACATACTTTTATCACAGGCAAAAAGTTTAAGAAGTTTTCATGTCACAGAAAAGCGAGCATTTTCTT